GAAGAGCAAAGACCCCAGGAGAGACATGTCCAACACGTTCGGAGGAAGCAGAGTCCTAGAGATGGGCAGGAAGCCATGGGGGATGGAGAGGGAAGAAACTAAATTTTTAACAAAACATTTAGATTTTTTAAACAAGCACATTAGTATAGTCATCTTTTAAAATTAAAATTAAAGTTTACATAAATGCATTGAAAAAGGCCTGACCCCAGGAGAGAATGAGGAGAGGGGTTTTACTTTCAGTCTTAACACTTCCATGCTGACTTGAAATTAAGGAATCCCCTTGTTAAATCTACCACATATGATTTAAAATTGTTTGTTTTTAAATAAACGGGTAAGGGGGAGACAGGTGTAGGAAGAGCAAAGATCCCAGGAGAGACATGTCCAACACGTTCGGAGGAAGCAGAGTCCTAGAGATGGGCAGGAAGCCATGGGGGATGGAGAGGGAAGTGACTAACGGAGACCAAGGAGAGACCACCCTAATGAACTATAGGCCAGTAGCATCCCAGGCACAGTGGGCAGGCCCACTTCCCAAGAAGCGTGGTGGTGAAAGGCGGGCAGAAGGCTGGGAGGAACTTGCAGGGGCGGGGAGGCACAGTGGCCTAGACTCGAACACATTTATGTACAGAGGAGCAGCGAGGTCAATGCAGGAGAGGGGCTCCACAATGAGGCCAGGCTCAGGTGCCTTTCTTGCTTTGCAAGAAGACAGACCAAAGTCAACAATGGGAGCTGTGGCCAGGGGAACAGAGGTGGGGCATTTGGTCTCCTGGAGGAAGAAGGCTGAAGATAGCTAATAACAGTATGTGCCAGGCATCCTGCTGTTTTAATGGCTGCATTATCTCATTGAGATAAGGATACCATCATGGTACCCCTTTTTAGAGGAAGAGACTGAAGGTCTCAGAGGCTGACTTCCCTGAATCACATTGCTAAGGATCAGTCAAAATTCAAACCCAATTGGTCTGACCCTTGAGGCTGGGCTCTTACAGCCTCACTTATTATAGTGCCACACTGCCTCCCTCTGTCTACTACAATCTCTTTTTTTGTCTTGAAAAGAAGTGCCGGCAACTATGGCTAAAGCTTAAACGTGGTTTATCTCATCTAACACTTCACAACATGCCAATGAAGTAGACACGAAGTAAACATGATTTGTTCCAGTTTGGATAAGGAAATGAAGGCTTAGGGAGGTTAAGTAACTTGCCCAGGGTTGTTACTTGATGGCCGAGCTGACATAACTATTATATCTACTGCCCCTACCCAGACTCCCTGGTCTATTAGGGTGGCAATAATCCCGGGGTCTCTTGACCTGCAGAGACCCACAGCAAACCCCAGAGCTCTGGGCTCCCACTCAGGCTCCCAGTCTGCCGGTCTACTTCTCCCTCATGGATCCAATAGATCTTGAGCAACAACCGGATACCAACCCTCCCACCATGAGATAGCTCTCATGCAAAGATGACAACAACAGAGCATCATCTAAGTTTTTATTAATGTGAGTTTTTAAAAACAAGCATCCATACCAGTGTGGGGGGTGAGGGAGGGAGAGGAGGGCAGGGCAGGGGGAAGGAATTCGGCTCTATTGGTAATAAAGCTCCAGGTTCATCCCATCGTGGATTTCATCTGAAGTAAAGGTGTTAAGGAATCCTCACCACGGGCTCCATCCCTACCCCTCTCATCCATTCACAGCTGGCTCAGGGTGGTGGCTTGAGGACTCAGACCAGGGCTAAGGAAACCATTTGGAATGGGGCCATTTTGATTTGGAGATAATCCAAGCACTCAGGTGGAGCTCAATAATAAATACTTTGAACTTGAGGTGTCAAAGTCTTCTAAGCCAAGTCAAACTATTTCACCAATCAACCACCCTCCTCCCCTAACAATATAATGATATGGCACCCGTTTTCTAAGCGCCCCTTACTAAGTTAAACAGCTTGTGTGTATAATCTCATATAGACTTCAGTAGTGAACAAAGAGAACCGAAGCTGGGCATGTAGCTGTTTCCTCAAGAAGTCACACAAAGGATACAGTCCCCCAGAGATACGTGGTCCTTAAAAATCGTGTACCTATGGGATAGAGACCTTTCAGAGAGAAGCCTAAGGAGGGCTCTTAACCCTGGAGGTAGCCCAGCCTAAGCAAAGGGCTGCCTGCAGCACTCCCCCAACCAAAACCTTTTGGCCTAGTCCTATCCACCCCGAAGCTCTACCACTGCACTCACCATTTCTTCAGGACAATCTTGTTCCAACGGGTGCCAGTTTGGGCTGCGATCAGCTTCTTAAGGTCCCCGATGGTGTCATCGGTGCTGAGCGCAGAGGAGTTAAGGCAAATGGAGAGAAGTAGAACGAGGAAGAGGACATTCCGGGGCTGAATACAATCTGCCAGGACCCCATCCGCCCCCTCTCTAGGGTTTACCTAAAACCATCCTAACAACACAAACCCAGCTGCCCGCCTCACGCCAGGCAACCCCCAGGGATCACCGCCTCTCGGCCGTCAGTGGATACTTGCATTTAACGCGGACCTTCTTCCCCAGACGGTCGTTGCAAACAACCTCGATCATCCTGGCTGGAGCTACACAGGGCGGGGGTTGCGAAGCAGCAGTGTCAGGACTTCAGGGGTCTCCCAGGCCTCAGAAGCCCCAGCCTACAAGTTTCCCAGTCCCAGGCTCTAAGACCCGCGGTTACTGAGTCTTCGTTTCACCCCCCGACCCCCTAGACCCAACTCCTCCCGGGTCCCAAGTCCCGCGTCCCAGGACCGAGGACCCCAGGCAGCCGCGCCTCCGCACCTCCCCGTCGCCTGAAGGCCCGGCCCCAAAGCTCCTTGGCTTCACCTCCCGCCAGCCCCGGACCCTTGGCGGCCCGGTCCCGCCACCTTTCCCCGATTCCGGGAGTCTCTGCCTGAACTCCTCACCTCAAATCGCCTCGAACCCGCAGGCGGTATAACCTCCGGCCTGAAACGCTAAACTCTGGCAGCCGTCGACGCAGGGAACCGGAAGCGGAAGTGTGGGGCAGGAAGGGCCCGCCCGAGTCTCCCTGGGTGGGCCCCTGCACTCGGTCCGGTTCTTCGCAGTACCCGGCGGGGTACCAGCTTGAGGTTCCGGGGCGAGACTTTGGGGTCCCGAGAGTGGGCAGGAGGACCCCGCGGTGGGCGCGCGGGGTCGAGTGTGGGGCCGGGGAAGGGGCGTGGAGCGAGAGCCACAGGTCAGAACCTGGCGCCCAGCCGTTGAGGCCCCTTCGGCGTGGGGAGATCCGGTGTGTTGGTGTGGACGCCAAAGGTCACGGGGCTGGGGGGGGGTGACCTCCCGTTCCTGAGCCCGACGAAGCCTCATACTGCAGCTTCGGGGCTGCGGGAAGCGGGGATAGAGTCTCGCAGTTATCCCGTCCAGCTCCCTCCTTCGCTTAGGGCTGGGCCTCGGAAACATTTTGCCCTCCCCTCCCCTCCGGCCACCCCGGGACACCCGAGATGCAGACTCCAGTCAGTAAACGAAGCCTGATCCTGGACTAGACTCCACGTCGTGCTCAAGTACCAGTCGCCAACCTGCAATGCCCGCGTGAGGAGGCTGGAAATGGCACAATTCCAAAAAATCTTCCGCTTCGGTATCTTCAAGGAGCACTTTGTACCAGATTCCAGGTTCGTGAGGGCCAGTGGCCAGGCCCCACGCCCCCCTAATTCGACCAAACCGCTTCTGCCCAGTGGAACTGTTGAATGATTCTTTCTCTGCAGAGAGGATTCTTCCAGTTTGGTGAGCCTAAACTGATTCGCCATGTCTTTCTTAGCTTCCCAAATCAACCTTCTCAAACTAGCATGTGAGATTAAGGGAGAGAAGAGGCTAATGCCCTACGACCCTGTCAAGGCTGCCTGCCTTAGGGAGCTGGCCTGAGAGGTCCCACCACAAACATTGGGCTCAAGGGACTTCCTGCCCCAGAACTTTGGCCTATCGCTCCTCTGGCTCCTTCAGAGTTCCTTTGGGTTTTCCAGAGCAGGGAATCTGAGTGGACACGTCATGTGTCAAAATCTCAGCCTCACCCCTTAGTATTAAAATCTGTGGTCTCAAACAAGACACTTCCCCTCTCCGAAGCGTATTTTTCTTATAATGAGGAAAGGGGATAATAATTCCCACCACGGCATTGTCGTAAGAATTGCTCTTAGACCAGCTCCTTTAAGAGTTTGCAACAGAACGGATCGGGGGTGAGGGTTGTGTAAGATCCGCCAGATCCCCGTCCCTGCTTTCTTTCTGTGTCCTGACCACTCTGTGACCCAGCCAGTTCCAGGTTTTTCCCAGTAGGCTTGAACCCAAACTGAGGTCTTCAACATTCTCAGACACTGATAAAAATATCTAGGGCGTTGCCCAAAACGCTCAAAGAAACTGGCCCTGGCCCTGAGCCAAATTCCTAAACCCTCATATATATTCCATACCCTGACCCCCTCACTCAGAACATAGCTAGATAGAACACCCCCTTTCCCTTGATGTCTTTCTCAAAGATTGCTGCAGCACCGCTCTGTAAGTCAGTCTAATAAATGCTTTGGACTGATCACCCTGGTGTTTAGAGCTGCTTTCTTTGGAGTCCCAATTAACTCCATCTGGGATGGTTTGGGGCACTTCCTTGGAAGCCCCCTGCTGCTGCTTTTGGGGTGACTCCAACTATGGGACCAAATTGAAGGTCAAAGATGAGCTGATGTGCCTGAGAAGTTTGGAAGCAGCACATCTTTGCATTGACGTAGAAACACTGGGTCACACACAAGGCGTACACTGTGGTCACCACTAGATGGTGGAATTGCTTTAAGTCTCATTTTCCCTTTAGTGGTTTTTGGTATTTTTTTTCAGATTTTCGACATCGAACATATGTTACTTTTGTTATCAGGTGGGGAGTGGGTGGGGAAGTGTTAGTTTTTTTTAAAAAAAGAAATTCTGATTTCTCAGTGTTTGATTCAAAGATGGTGGAAGCACAGGATCGTGATGCTGAGCTGGGGAGATTGGAAAGCGGCGGGGAGTGCTGCCCAGAGAAGTGCAGCCTGGGATTGTTGGGTGGCTTGAGCTACCTGGGGAGGGCTGGGGGTCCACTGTGGGGGAGTGGGGGAGGTTGTTGAGCCATCCTGGGGAGGGGGAAAGGGGCAATGGAAGTCCCTGAGCTACACTGTCACTGCTTCACCCTTCCCCTCCCTGGCCCCAAGTGCAGCCTCAGGAGACTGGACACCCTGCCTTTTGTTACCCCTTCCTGCACGCTGGTGATTACAATTCTGGGCTTCCCATGAAAGGACCCAGTGACTACCCTTAGAGGGACCAGGGCAACCCCATTCCTCTGTCTGGGTAGCAGGAAGATCTGCTGTCAGGGCTGCTTTTTCTGGGGGGAGGTGGGTACTTCTCAGGAGCTAAAGTTCTGGCTTATGACCCAAGGAGCAAGCTCAACAGGCCCTTTCTACTTCCTGTTGCCTGGGTTTCTGATCCAGAGGAAGGAGCTTGTATGTGGGTTCCCTTTTCTCATTTGACACCCTCCCTCCCCTCTACCCCTTGTGCTGGTGGTATAAGAGATGGTTCTTAGGAACTCCCTGTAACTGAGCCTGGGGGTGGGGGGCGGTCAGGGACACCTGGGTTCTGCCAAACTTAAAGGCAATGCCTCCCCTCACCCCCAGAGTTCACCAGAGGGGAAATAATCTTAGGGGTGGGGTGCACAGGAGGTCCCTTCCTCCAACATCTGAGCATCTCAGCAGGCCTTGGAACAAACAAGGCCCACCTGGCACCCCAGAATTCAGTGTGATGGAGGAGGACAACAAGGGGTCCTTGCGATACAGTGACAAGTGGAGGGCACTGAAGGAGGGACTGCCCCAGCAGAAGGCATGGGATTCCAGAAGGAAGTGTCACCAGAGAGCGTTCTAGTAATGGCTGAGTCTCTGGCAGCAAAAGGATCTGAGCTTGTGACCCTGGCAAGTGACTTGACCTCCAAGCCTCAGATCCTAACTGGGGTATCAACCACTGAGGGTTGTGGAAATTAACTGAGCTAACACTGGTAAAACACTTACCATGGTATTTTACATAGCAGAGTAAGTTCTTAACAATAGCAGCTGTTTGTATTTTTGTGTCTTTTTATCAGCCAGCAAGCCAGGCAAAGGCGTTGTAATTGTCAGAGTGTTCTAGACAGAGGGAAGAGCCTGTATGTTCAGTTAGGAATGCTCGTGGCTTCCAGTAACAGAAAGCTGACACTTGTTTAAACAAGTAAGTGGCTATTTTTCTCATAACCGAAATGCTGGAAGCAGGCAGCACTGGACCAACAGCTCAGGGATATCTGGGGCTACTGTCTTGTGTGATTCTTTTGATCTTTCCCTTTATGGTCACAAGATAACTGCCAAAGCATAAGGCCCTTTGTGCTCTTGTTTGAGGAAAAATACCAAAGAAGTTTGATTTATTAATACACATTTAGAACTTACCGTGTTTTTTTAAGATAATACTTGCTCGTGATAAAAATTGAAGCAGTATAAGTTACCCTCCAGAACAGACCCTCGGCCCCTCCCCAGGGGCAACTATCATTAAAAGTTCCCATTTTCTAGATCATCTCTGCATCCTCAAAGTGTGTGATTTGGAGCCTCCCAAGAAAATGATAAACCTTTAAGATAGTAATTATAACAGATTTCAGTAGAGGTAGGGGCTTTGTATTTTCAAGTAACATATAACATATTAAGTCATGTCAGAGAAACTTGGTTTTCATACAGGCTTTTATGTATAAAGTTAAACAAATAATGGTTTTCATACAGGCTTTTATGTATAAAGTTAAACAAATAATGGTTTTCATACAGGCTTTTATGTATAAAGTTAAACAAATAATAAATTGTTTGCATTTATTGAGGTAAATACCTATGCCCTATAAATGGGATCAAACTGTACACATTGTTCTATTTCTTTTTAAGGCAACAATATCCTCGAGATTGTCCCAAACAGCATGGAAAGACCTACCTCATTCTTTTTGAAATATTGCAATCCTAGAAATGGGAGCGTGGATCTGACAGAGTACATTCTGATATCGACAAACTGTTTTCAAAGAGTTCACATCAGTTCTTCCCTAAGAACCTCTCCTGCAGTGTTTGAGAGGTTCTGTTTCTTCACACCAAAGCTAATGTGGGTATTTTCAAACTTCTTAACCCTTTGGAATTTGATAGATGACAAACCACAGTGTTTTACTTTTTATTTATTTATGGATAAGTGTGAGCATACACGTTTTTCTTTTTGAACAGTTTTAATGTCTCTGATTTCTACTTTTCTGTGTGTGTGTGTTAAAAATATATTTATTGCCATTATAGGTTCTTAGAGGTGCGATTTAGCGAAACCAATTCAAAATTAAACCTCATATGTCTCTTGACTCATCAAACTGACTTCTGGTTACTTAACCTATACAAATAAAAACAGGATTATATATATA